TTGGCTACCACCTGTGGGACTTCCAGACAGACAGGCAGGTGGTGGCCAATCAACCAGACATTATGGTAGTAGAAGTGGTGGTCCAGATAGACAGGCAGATGGTAGCCAATCAACCAGACATTATGATAATAGACAAGGACCAGACTGGTGGTCCAGATAGGCAGGCAGGTGGTGGCCAATCAACCAGACATTATGGTAGTAGAAGGACCAGAAGACAGTGGTGGTCCAGATAGACAGGCAGATGGTAGCCAATCAACCAGACATTATGATAATAGACAAGGACCAGACTGGTGGTCCAGATAGGCAGGCAGGTGGTGGCCAATCAACCAGACATTATGGTAGTAGAAGGACCAGAAGACAGTGGTGGTCCAGATAGACAGGCAGATGGTAGCCAATCAACCAGACATTGTGGTAGTAGAAGGACCAGAAGACAGTGGTGGTCCGGATAGGCAGGCAAGTGGTAGCCAATCAACCAGACATTATGGTAGTACAAGGACCAGAAGACAGTGGTGGTCCAGATAGACAGGCAGATGATAGCCAATCAACCAGACATTGTGGTAGTAGAAGGACCAGAAGACAGTGGTGGTCCAGATAGACAGGCAGATGATAGCCAATCAACCAGACATTGTGGTAGTAGAAGGACCAGAAGACAGTGGTGGTCCAGATCGACAGGCAGGTGTTAGCCAATCAACCAGGCATTATGATAATAGGCAAGGACCAGACTGATGGTCCAGATAGGCAGGCAGGTGGTAGCCAATCAACCAGACATTGTTGTAGTAGAAGGACCAGAAGACAGTAGTGATCCAGATAGACAGGCAGATTGTGGCCAATAACCAGACATTGTGGTAGTAGAAGGATCAGAAGACAGTGGTGGTCCAGATAGACAGGCAGATGGTAGCCAATCAACCAGACATTATGATAATAGACAAGGACCAGATTTGTGGTCCAGATAGGCAGGCAGGTGGTAGCCAATCAACCAGACATTGTTGTAGTAGAAGGACCAGAAGACAGTGGTGGTCCACATAGACAGGCAGGTGGAAGCCAATCGACCAGACATTGTGGTAGTAGAAGGACCAGAAGACTGTGTGGTAATAGTTGTAGAGGTGCCAAGTGAGAGCAAGATCAGGAAGGAGTATGAGAAGCGGGAGAAGTAGCAGGCCTGAAGGAGGAGCTGGAGAGTTTGTGGAAAGTCAAAGCCAAAAGGTAGGAATCCTTGGGGCTGGGACTCCAACAGATCCCAAGAACGACATCAGATCTCTCTCCCTCCAGAAAAGTTGCAGTTCTAGGAACAGCTAAGATCCTGCTGAGTACCCTCAAACTCCCAAGTCCCGGGTAGAAGACCGAGATTGAGGAAAACACAGACCAACCACAAGAGTGAGAAGGGGTATTTTTAATATAGATATATGTATATATGTATATATATATATTGCCTTCTTCTCCTTCAGATTTTGAAACTCCTCATTGTGGCTTGGGAACGCCGGCTCATCTTCACCATCGGGACCTCGAACACGACGGGTGAATCGGACACTGTGGTTTGGAACGAGATCCACCACAAAACCGAATTTGGTTCCAACCTGACTGGCCACGGCTATCCTGACCCAAACTATCTGGACAATGTCCTGGCTGAACTGACCGCCCAGGGGGTCTTGGAAGCCAACCTGAAGGACTGAGAAGATGGTGTTTTGGGGGGGCCTCCCTCCACCCAATGTTTCTCCTGCCTCCATTGAGTTCTGCGCAGCTGCCTCTCCTCCATCATGTCTGTCCGTGTTTTGTGTTCGCCGATTGGTGAGGCAGCCATGTTTGGGACGGTTCCTTCCACCTTCCCCCGAGTCGCTTGGACTAGCTTGACTACAAAAACCATGGAGGTTACAGGGTGTTTTCCTCCACCCCTGGCAGGATTCACACCATGGTTCCAGGGCTCCCTCCCCGGAGAAACAATCTGAAGCTTTGTGAGTGAGCAACCCATGCAAGCTTTCTGCTCTTCTCTTCCTTTTTCTACATACGTGTATAATTCTTGGCCGTTTCCCACGGGTCCAAAGTTCAGTACAACGGAACCCTCCATCTCCAACTACTCAAATCTCTCAGCCAGGTTGTTCCTGCCTCCTTTTGTCTCTGTTCCTCGCTTGTTCTTTGGTTGCCTTTGTGGCTCTGCCCAGAGAAGCAGGAAAGAAGATCCAAGTTGATCCCCTAACGCAGGCAGATATTGTGGCTTCCCAGCGGGAAGTAGAACGGTGTCAACCGGCTTTGTCGTCTGCCTTGCGTGCAAATTAAAAGAGCCCCCATCTCTTTGGCTCTGTCTCCCCTCCCAGCCTCAGAGGCATCCTCTTCCCTGACCAAATGCAAAGTTTGCCCTCTAGTTCAGGGGTCCCCAAACCCACCGATTCTTGGACCAACACCGGTCCGCGGCATGACAGAAACCGGACCGTGCAAAGAAGCGAAGTCCCGTCCGCGGAAACGTAGGCAGCATGCAAAACTATACTGGTCCGTGGAAAAACCCTCTCTCCATGGAACAGGTCCCTGGTATCCCAAAGATTGTGGAGGGGGCCGCGATGTTTTTCTTAAAAATATATTGCAAGATTGGCGGGGGGGAGGTTTTTCTAAGTGGAGCTAGAACTGGTGAAGATTGGAAATCCCACCAGATCTTCTCCTTCCCTTGATCGACCACACAGATTCCCTTTTTGTTAGTTGTTTCTTTAGCAAACCCAGAACATATATTGCCGGGTAAACTGGATACTTGATCCTTTATACTCCACCCACAACTCTTGCACAGACGGGCCTTTCTGACTGTTGGTCTTACATCACCTTCTTGCCATCTCCCTAAACAACAAAATACACAGTTTTGGACTTGTGCTTCTGGACCACTTGGGTGGTGATGGAAGAGGGGCGGATTCCTTTCTCCCTGCAACATCATCAAATGTCTACATCCCTTTCCCTATTCTACTTTTTTTGGGTCCGTCGTTGACAGTGGAGCAGTGATAGAATATGACCTGTACGCCCCGATATGGGCGTACTGGTGACTGTTG